CTCATCACTTTCAGAAAATAATGGATGTACAGCATAAGAATATGTAAGCTGAGAGAAAATAGGAAGGCGCAATCATTCAAAAAGAAGACTGGTATTAAGTGGAAGCAATTACAGGTGTCAACAATGAGAGGGGAAAATCACTTCAAGATAATTACTGAGAAGCTCCGTTCCAGAAGCAAAACCCTTTTCAGATACCTTTAAATCAAAATCCTAGATAAATCACATGATCGCGGGAGAATTTCCATTAACTGAGCGATTGGGGCAGCTTTATGCACTCGTACAACATTCTGGCAGACCTGCAATTTTGTATAGTTAGTGAGGTAAATCGAATATTGGTCTGAATTATGTAACATAGTGTCCAAATTTAAACAAATCTATGCACAATTTAACATAGATTTTATTCCGCAGTCCTGAAATTATGAGATCAAAGACTTGGCCTACCATAGGTTACACAAAAATCCAAGATATTATCATGATAGAGGAATATCTCAAATTTGAAGAAGAACTTTCTTCTCCCAACAAAAGAAAGATGCTGCAGCCGCCAGTAGCTCATAATTTTCTGCAAGCCAAAAACTCTGCAAGATTGGAATTGGTGCAAATTTTACATTTATGTTTGCATTGCAGCTGATGTATTCCACATGTTCTAGAATTCATGCTGGTGACGACCTCAATAAGTTTTGAAAGTTTTGAGATTTAATTCGAGAAACAAAGTTGCATGCACAATTTACGCTTACAAACCCTCCTCCGCGTTTGCCAAATTTGCGTTATCGTAAGATTAGAAAAAGTTTTCAGCCTTCTTCAAGATACCGTAGAACTGATGCCTCAGAAGTTTTGCTTGTCTATTCACACACTTTCACAATCAACACTGAATATTATGGAAGCTCCTCAAAGAAGCTTCTGAAAATTTCAGTGTTACGCGTTATTTCCAGAAATTAGACGATCGCCGAAAGTATGATGATGAAGAGAAGCCATCTGTGTTACTTATATTATGAATGCGGCTGGAAATTACGCAACAGAACTTTGTTTATTTGTAACGCGTTAAAATTACCTCATTTTCTGGGCTGCTGCTGTTGTTGTGGCGGTTTCTGCTGTTGTTGCCCAGCCTGCTGTTTCGGCTGAGGCGGAGCCTGTTGCTGTTGCTGCCGCGCTTGTTGCTGTTGTTGCTGAGCCTGCTGCTGCTTTTTTGCTTCCTCTTCCTTTTTCAATCTCTCTTCCTGCTCTCGCTTTTGTTTCTCCTTCAGCATTCTCTCTTGTTCCTCCTTTTGCTTTTGCAACTTCCGTTGTTCTTCTTCCTTTCGCTGTTGCTCTTGTCGCTTCTTTTCCTGTTCTTTTTGCAAATTCTGTTGCCTTAGTTTTTCTTCTTCTTCCTTTTGCTTTCTCAGCCTATCCTCCTCTTCCTTTCGTTTCCTCTCTTCCTCTTCTCGTTTCTGCTTTTCAAGCAATTGTCGCTGCCGTTCTTCCTCTTCCTTCTGTTTCTGTTGACGCTGTCTTTCCTCTTCTTCCTTCTGTTTCTGCTGTCGCTGCCGTTCCTCCTCTTCTTTCTTTTTCTGCTGTCGCTGCCTCTCCTCCTCTTCCTTCTGTTTCTGCTGTCTTCGTCGTTCTTCTTCCTCCTTTTGCTTCTGTTGTCTCCTCCGCTCTTCTTCTTCTTTCTGCTGCTGTTGTTTTTTCCTTTCCTCCTCTTCCCGTTGTCGTTGCTGCTCTAAACGTTCTTTCTCGGCACGTTCCCTCTCTTTCTTCAGTTTTTCCTGTTCTTCTGCATATTTGCGCCTCCTCTCCTCTTCCTCCTGTTGCCGCTTTCGCTCCTGCTCCTGCTGCTGCCTCTTCCTTTCCTGCTGTTCACGAAGCTGTTTCTGCCGCATTTGTTCCCTTTCATCAACATTACCAGGCTTCTCATGCTGCTGCTCATGCTTCTGTTCTGCCTTTTCTTCATGATGCACTTGGCCCAAAGGCACTCCATAATCTGCAGAGAAAATTTCTTATCACTGTTTCCAGCTATCAAATGTGTCAGCTTTTCAAATTGTGACAAAACGCACTGTCAGAGAGAAATGCTAGGTGGAAAAAACCCTCCTGCAGAGATTTTGAATGTATTTGCATAATGCAAAAATAAAAACTTACAATTTTTGATCATTATACTCACCTTTAAGCTGATTATCTATCTTATTCATTAATTCTCGTACATCTGCATACTGGACACCCTGAAACCTCGACTTAATTGGAAGCGTAGTAATCGTGGAGGTATTGAAGTGTTTCTTGACGATGCGTTTGCAATAATATATTTTATTTTTATTATAGTTAGGCAAAAATACAAGCTGAAAGAAAATAACTCACTACGAATATTCCCACTGCTGCCACGACTAGTCCCGCTACGACGAATCGTAAACTGCTCGCTGAATAAAGAAAATAGATGATTTTCTCGACGAAGATTGCATGAGGGTCTGTATGGATTTTTTTCAAGTTGAGACAATGAGTGGAAGAGTAAGATTGCGCGTGCGAAAAAGATACTGGTTTTCCAAATTTATGTCATCTGTCAAAGTCAGTGGCGTACGCTGGATTTCCGTT